CTGACTAAGCTGGGGGATCTCCAGGCATCTTTCTCTCATTAATACGCCTGTCTGCTCTTCGATGTCATTAGCATTAACCCTCTGTCACCCCAAGTTTCCTTATCCACTAAGTGTAACAGGACTAATCTCTTTTCACGTCCCTCTCGCCTATGAAATATGGGGAGCTAATTCTGACCTTCAGCAACTTGCTGACGCCAGATTGAGGAAGACATGACTGATTTCTAGTGCCACAGGACAGAGGCACTCTGGCCATGACCAGACTCCTCCTGGAGCTTGTGAATGGGCATGGGAGGAACTCGCCAACTCGCAAGGTGGCAGAGGTGACTCCTTCCTTCTCTCCGTTAATGGCTATGCTGTTGTCACAGGCCTTGGGTTGTCATGGTGATTCCAGACGGAACTGAAACAAAAGCATGCAGCATACAGCATCGCCATCCGGTGGCCTGTTTGGGAAACACGCCAGCCAATCTATCCACTCCAGTGACACAGGAAGGATTGAGAAGAGGCAAGGTTTTCCTAAGAGAATCAGAGGAGAGCTGCGACCCGGGGCCTAGAGCGAGGGCTATGACCTAGCTGCTGGGCAATCAAGTGACCCTGCCTAGCTCTACCTGCTCTGGCCCCTGTCACACAGGTACTGGGGTGATCACTTCCCTATGATTGCCACCTGGTGACTAATCAGGCCTTTAAGAAGAGAGAACTGTTTACACAGAACACTCCAGAACTCAAGGCTTTCCTGAGGAAATGCCAGATTCACACCAAAGGGAGGAATTCTTCCCATAAAAATGCACGGCTGAGCTGAGCTGTCTCTGCCGCAGGAGAGGACCTTTTTCTTCCCACCCAGGGTCATTTCTGTGTCCCTGGAAACATGAGCTCCTAGATTCCTGGTCTTAAAACTTATATATGAGCCATTAAGGCCAAGTTAACTAACCCTCAGTTCCCCAACTGTAAGATGGGGCTCGATCAAAATACTTCCTTGTAGCATTGTTGAGAAGATTAAACGAGATTATGCATCTGCCATTGCTTTAGCACCCGTCCTGGGCATCGTAACTACTCAATCACTGTTAGGTGCTCTGGGCGGCAGTGGCAGCAGCAGCAGCAGCAGCAGCAGCAGCAGCAGCAAAAGCAGCAACAGCAGCAGGCAGTGCATGTGAAGCTGCTTGTGAGGAGATGTGATCTATGTGGAGTGAAGGTGGGTTCACTGCTCTGTAATTGCCATGTTGGCTTGGCAAACTTCAAGAGCCTCCAATGCTTCTGTCTGCCTTCCAAGAAAACTGAACAACAGGTGCCATAACCTAGGCTGAAGGCATTCTGGTTTGGTTTCAAACCTCCTGGAGCAGGTTGAAAAGCCTCCATCTCTGAGGCCACTGTCCCCTCCTCCCTCCCGCCCAACTCCAGTGACTTCCCGAGGCATGCCATGTAATCAATGAGTGTTAAGTGAAAGCTCTTCTTTCCCCAGGGAAGGCTGGGACAGCACAGCTTGCAGATGCCCATCAGAGAAGGAAATGACAGCCCTCGCGACACAGACTGCCTTTCCTGCCTGGCAGACGATGGGCCTCTAAGCTACAAAGTGCAGCCTCTTAGGGCATGCCTACCTGCTGGCTGCCCACACAGGACCAGATGCCCATCACCTCAGATGTCCTAAGAGCTCAGGGGGTGGTGGTACAGGGAAAGCACTTAGGATTACATGCAGGTGATACTTTCTGCTCTAACCTTGGCTTCTCAAATCCCTCCCGGGTTCACACAAATTTCCCGGAAGCCAGGCTGAACAAGGAAGCTGATAGACTATCTCTCATCCTGAACAACGAAGGCAAAAACGACAAGTGTATCTTTACTCAGGCAATGGCTGCTGGTACCGAACGCGTTTAGGATTAATTACACGGAGGTCCGCCAGCTACTCAAAAACATCTGAGGGCAATGAAAACAGACTTCTGAGTTTCTTAGAAATGAGGGTTGAGGTTCAGTTTAAGAATGAGCTTTTCAACTTCCAACTGTGCAGCGAGAACTTATCGCAGAAGCCATCAGTGAAGGGGAAGACAGGCAGATTTGTCAGAAAAGCCATGTTGGGACTGCGGCACCAGCTGGGACATCTATACTCATGTGTTATGGTTTAGGAACTCTATATGTGTGTGTGTGTGTGTGTGTGTGTGTGTGTGTGTAGGCTCACTTGACCTGTGATCTTGGATGTTAAACTAAGGATGTAACCCTCAGGAGGATTCAGAGGACAACATATCAAGTTCAGGGTCAACTCCAGGACAGCTAAAACTTGCCTGGAGAAGTCTCCCAGCATGCCTAGGATAGTGTTATCAGTGCTGATCACCTGTCCAAAGGACCATGGCAAGCAGATTGCCAAGGTTGCCTGGCTGGGTATATCCTGACCTGGGCATATTTGGAAGGATGGCAGCTAAGTCCAGAGCAAGCAGGAAGGGAAGGGGGCACAGAATAAGCAAGCACAAACATTCACTTGGTCCTTGTTAGTGTCACAGTAAGTGCCAGAAAGAAAATATCCAGGTCCTCTAGGCATGGAAGGGACATTTCCACTTTGGGATGAACCAATCACTCAAGAGAGAGGGAGGAGGGGGGTGGAGGAGACAAAACTCCCAGTGACGGCCCGGGAGTCAAAGCAGATGCAATTTCCCAGTCATCCAGGGTATTCTAATCAGAGCCTTCTTATCAGACTATCTGCAGCCAAATGAGGAGAAATCCAATCTACAGCCTGCTGAACCCTAAATTCGATCTAATGGGGACCTGCTTTCCAACTGCTCAACAGCAGGCCAGAACCAGAGATGACGGACTCTGGCTCTGCCTGCGGGTTCTTTCTGGAAAGCAAGCCAGCCTGAGTTGTGTCAACTCCTGGTCTCCACAGAGGGAGAAGCATTGTCTTTACCCCCTAGCTAGTCAATTCCATCTGCTCAAAGTGGTGCTGTTCAGCTGGCCTGTCTTTCAAACCCAGGGAAGGGGGGGCTTGCAACCTCCTGACTGCTGTCAGCTTGTAGCAGGGACACATTTCCTTTGTTTAAAAATATGCTGGTCTAAGAGTTTTTGATACACACCGTTCACAGTGCTCGGCACTTTGATGTCCAGTCCGTCTCTCCTTAGTGGAGAGGGACATGACCTGTTCCTTTCAGCGTCTATCATAAAAGGCCATTCACACCAGCCTGGCTGGCCAAAGCACCCCTCTCCCGTACCCCCACCTCCAGGCATTTGCTATTGTTATTCTGTGGATTAATGGCTCCAGTTAACCAGTGGTAACTTAGTTTCTCTGCTAGGAGCAAAGAACAGCATCTGTGAAACACCCAGACCCTTGCGGAGCCCTGGTATGCCATTCTACAAAACAAAAGGCCAGGGAAGGGCTGGAATTTTGAACACAGATCTGCTCGCCTACAGCCAGGAAGAATGAGAGAGAAGTGGAGGAAGAAGCAGGAAGATGTGGGGGACAGAGAGGTTTTTCTCACTGCTTTTCAGCAGATAGTTGTGATACTGGATCCACAGCCCAGAATCTTGATGGCCATTTCATTCCAACACGATTCGCATTGGTATATAGCCTGGGGGCAATCTGCCCAGGGACTTGGGAGTTTAGGGTGCGTGAAGGTATGAGATGGGAGGGTCAGAAGAAGTCTTCACTTCTTTCTAGAAGTGTCCTTGCAAGCCAGAACTACCTGCGCCCACCTTACCACTTAGAGTCTTTGGTCCTGCGCCTTCTCCCCTTTCAGAGATCTGGCTGGACCACCTGATCTGTAAACTTAGATTTTGGCACCTCCTAACTGTACAAGGAAGGCAGGGAGTCTGGAACCTCTTCTTCCCTGGGAATTGGAGGTGATCCATCTTTCTCCCTTCCTCCCTCATGGATCAAACGTGGCCCAGCCTGGCCTTACACTCATGACTCTGTGTCAGTTTCCGAAAGCCCTGAAATGAAAGGTACACAATACCTTGCCTGACTTAGAGGGGATTTGTTTGTTTGTTTGAAGACAGGCAATTAAAAAAATTACATGCAAATCTGTTTGTACTCGGATGAAGGCCTGTGAAATCCTGTCATGCGCTACTGAGGGAGCCGAAGCCTTTAGAAACGTGACCATGAGAGTACTCAATTTCTACACTTACTTTGCTGTGTGACACAGGGCAAGTCATTTACCTCTCTGAGAGTAGGCATTCTCCAATGCTCATAGGGTACTCAAGGTCAATTCTTAATACCAACAGGAATTATGACAGTCATATACTCCTTTGCACACACACACACATGTGCGCGTACACACATGCACACACGCACGCATGCACACACACACATACAGGCTCACATGCACGCGCAGTGCCCAATTCATAATCCGGGGATGATTCTCGCTCATCATCAAGTCTTCTAAAATAAGCTGAATTCCTTTTTTATTTCTCCACATCGGAGTTCAATTATCTCCTTCAAACATTTAAGCCCAAATGACTAGAATAAAACAAACAAATAAATAAACCCAAAGCTTAAAACCCGAGGCAACAATCTTCCTTTACGTGAAATAAACACTTGCCCTCAGCCTCCCTAACCAGACTGTCACACTGCTGGCTTCTCTCTAATGGCTTCTCCCCACCCACACCGCTCACAAGGTCACATGCCTATGGGCCGGGCTGCTGTTTTCGCTTTCAGCTTGGAGTTTGCCTTGGGAAGGTTGTAGTTCCCTAGATTCTTCCTACACCTCTGTAAGACATTTCCTCTCGCAGGCTTCGATTTCTTTCTCACTTTCAAGTCCTGAATCCACTCCTGACACACACTAGGGCGAGGGTTCCGGACTGTATCACCTAGGCTTACGTACACTGGCCTTGGCGTGTACGTACACTTGCCAACTCTCTGCCTCTCGGGGTCACACAAATGAACCTTGGGGAGGGGAAACGGGATGCACAGAGGCTTTGGTGCCAGTATGATAGGCATCGAGTCAAAAGAATGCTTCCGAGCGCGGCTTAAACATTTTCCGTCTGCAAAGGAACGGTCACAAAGATGGGAAAAGTAGCCGGGTTCTACTCACAGCAGCTGCAGGGACACCAGCCCATCAAACAGTCCCTTGGGAATCTCTGTAATCTTGTTCCCATAGAGCACCCTGGAAGAAAGCAAATGACAGCAATCAGCAGGACGTAAGGGAGGCCATCACCTCTGCCAGTTCTGGGTGCCAGATCTCAGGTCACCTGGCGCCCTGGGCCGCCACATCCCATCCATCCCATCTTCTTATCAGAGAGCCAGAAGCAGGCAGGCAGTTCATCCTGTGTGGGTGGAGGTGCCGACTTGGAGGTGAGCTAAGGCAAGGCCATCCTGCTGCACTCCAGCCCAGTCTGGCTCATCACTCCCCTCCCCCACGAGGAAGAAGAGAGCCCTTTGTGGTACCACCTGAGCTGCTAGCCTGACTCACGCCCCACAGTAAACAGGCAGTGTGGGAGGCCAGCCTGTGACTTCAATGGGTATTGATCAGGCCGAGCTAGCCTATAGAATGTTTCCTTTTAATATCCCACTGCATCCTAGGAATTCCTGAGCGGAGTTCTTTAATCACCCATCTAGACAGCGGGGGCTACAGGGATGCGGAGCATCTCCAGATGGTGCAGGCATTGCTGAGTGGTGGCCTGGCTCAATGGGGAGGCTGAGGAGTTTCGCTGTCTCAGATGATGGCAACTTCCACTCTCTCTCTGCCTGTCTCATTCTCTCAGATCTAAGTAGAAAGGAACTCGGATTTTTCTTTTTCATTTCATCTTTGAGATCCACAGTGTTCCCCCCTGCTATTTTGAGGCCTCGTGTCTGGTGAGTTAAGAAGCCTGGGAAAGGAATATGGGTTCACCTTTCAAACCCAGCCCCTAGCAGGTCCATAAACCTAGAACTGAGACTCTCTGGGCCTTTCTCTCTCTCTGCTTCATCTCCTGACAGACTCTGCTGTCCATGGGGTCAGGAAATAAAGCTAAAGAGGGCTTGATCTGCGTCTGTTAAAACCCCTTCTTGGGTCTAAGGACACGGGCTATGCAATTATTTAATTCCCACTCAAATCAAGACTCTGGGCTGACGGTCATTTGAGGAGGCAAATATCAGGAGGAAGAAATGGCGAAAGAGTGTGAAATCGGCCCCCTCTCCCCCACTGCCGCCCGTCTCCAGAAGCCACTGGGAGTGAAGAGTGAGTTCTCCATCAGCCTGCGGGTGTGTTTCATTAATGCTTCAACAAATTAATGACTAAATAGAAGTCAGCATGGTGGCGCGGGCGCACATTTGTAATTCATATTAATGTCCCACTGCTCACTGTGGCAAATGTAGGAATGCCACTGCCTGTTCATCTCAATGGATGCCAGGGCTTCTAGAGTGGCACAGGCTGCTGGCGGTGGGGGCGGGGGTAGGTATGCTGGGGTAGGGGTCCTCAGGCAGTCCATCACGCCTTGGTATGGAACATCCTCAAAGCTAGCGGGTCACCTGCCTGCTTATGTGTCAGCCTCGAGGGTGCTGGCCTGCGGATCTGTGTGGCTTCACTTTCACTAGCCTTTCATGTCCGAGACCAAGCGAGGAGCTCTGCAGAAGTCTCCTCGATGTTTTAGCTAAGATTTTTTTTACCATCTATTATCTTATTTTGCTTCTCCCCAGCACTTACGTTTACGTTAACGCATACTATTTACACATTTGTTTAGGCTTAGTTTATTATTATTATTATTACTAATATTTTGTATGTCTGGGTGGTTTGCCTGTGTGTATGTCTGTTCACTCTGTCTGTGACTGGAAGAGGCCAGAAGAGATGTCAGATCCCCTGAGACTGGAGTTTCAGTTGGTTGTGAGCTGCCATGTAGGAGCTGGGAATTGAACACGGGTCCTCTAGAAGAGCAGCCAGTGAGTGCTCTTAACTGCGGAGCCATCTCTCTCTCTCTCCAGCCCCTTTAGGCTTAGTTTTTATGTTTTTCCTTTAACTTTCCTGAATGTGATGATGTTACAGGGCACGCCCATGGCTGGGTCTCTAGAGTGGACAAAAAGCAAGGTCTAGTACAATAAACACCCACTGAATGAATGTATTATCAGATGAACAGGTCTGGGGTAAATGCTCTCCATCCTGTTACCCTACACGGTCAGCTTCATGAGCCCTGGGGCGTCTCTGTTCGGTTGCTGGTCATATTCTTAGTGCCTCTCAAACCACTCACTCACACAGCAAGCATCTACTCAGTGAGGAATGAGTAAACAAAAGCCAAGAGGCACTTCACTGAATGCTCGGCACGCACCTCTGAGTTCACTACAGGTGTGCCAATTTCCTGTCTGGCAAACAGATTTCGAAATTCTTCTGCAAGACAGGAATCATCCCACTATCTTGAGACTGTCCCCCGATATCAGCTAAGGGAGACCAGACAAGGGGAAGGGGAAGGTTAAGATGGGATCCTGGTGGCAGGGGCCTCTCCCGTCTCCTCCTCTCTGTGACACTCATCACAATAAGCAGACACTAATCTCACACACGGCCCTGTCTTTGATATCCCAGCCAGATGTTCTGTTCGATAAATGAAACTAATTTACTCGGCAGGCAGCAGACACCAGCTGAATCAGGGACTTCCTGTCCTCGTTCCCTGCCCAGTGGGATGGGAGGACATGTGCATCTTGTTACCTGCATGTTCATAAACTACGCAAACGGGTTGCGAAGGGGTGAAACACAGATCGCATGCCTGTGAACACCCTTTGGATTGTCTGGGGTGTTGAAAGGAACAGGCACTAGATGATACAAAATGTACGAACTGATGAAACCATCACTACGTACGCAGTATGTTAAATGGGCTGCACAGTACGGAGATCAGGAGTGGAATTCTAGACCAAATATGCTGGGCTCAAGTCCTACCTCCCAGACCTATTAGGGTGTCTTTACAGAAGTGTTTTTCACTTATTTAACATGCTTTCCCTCTTCCCCCTTCCTCCCTTCTCCCTCTCTGTGATGTATGCCGGTGTGTGTGTGTAGACAGGCATGGCTTGTTGCTCACCTGTGTGTATGTGTGGAAGCCAGAAGTGATGTTGGGTGTCTTCCTCCATTGCTTTCCACTCGGTGAGCTGAGTGGTTGAGCGGTGAGCTCCCGAGATCCACTGTCCTCTCCCCGCACCCGCAGGGCTGGGTTACAGTTAGTTGTACAGCACTGTGCCCTGGTTGTATGGGTGCCCTTAAGCTACAGCAGAAGGTAATGCATGCACTGTCATCTCCCCAGCCCTGAACCTTTTCTTTCATCACTCGGTGCGAGGGACAGTCTGAGGTGACGGGGTTACAGATGGGAACAGAAACAGTTAAGGAGCTGAGCTACATGGTAGAAGACTCTACCGTTTATGTTTCTGGGAGAATCGAGCCCGTAAGACTCTGCGAAGCGGACCTGGTCACAATCAGCGCTTGATAAACGCTATCAATGATTGTCATTGGTATACTATGTCAATCACACAGTGTGTTAGACAAGGAAGGATCACTGTCTCCAGTGTGCCCGAGGAAACATGCAGAGAAGGCTGAAGGACTGCCTGTGCCCTGAGTGAGCTGCTGAGGGAGTAAGAGCCAACCCCACATCTTCTTAGCCTGGGAGTCCAGTGGCCCTTAGTGGGTGGGGCTTTGGATCTCACCACTGGGCCAAATAAGGGCTTTAAAAAGCCACAGAAGGAAGGGCGATGGGATGCGGGGTGGATCTTTTCTGAATACTAACTACAAGGCTGGAATAGCCTGGAAATCAGAGAGGGAAGTACTGCCCTCCTCGACAAGGCTACAGACCGTGGGACGAAGGGTGGCGAGCCATGGCCTCATCTCAGCCATCCATTACCATTCTCTCCACCCGACAGCCTGGTCTCCCCCGAGACAGCGCTGTGCAGCGTGAGGTGGGAGGGGGAGCGAGGTGAGAGTCAAAGATGCATTCGAATTAGAAGCCAATAACTGGGAAAGCCGCTGGGCACTTAATCAATAAAAATAATGCATGTGCGTTGTAGAAATATTCCCCGAGATCAATTTCCCCCGAAGAAATATCTGTTTCTTTTACCAGATTGCCACAAGTGTGTAAGGGAACATAAAGCCTTGATAAACACCTCCTGAAAAATGCGGACGTGCCTCCCACCCCGGGCCCCACTTACAGCGACGTGAGTGATTTCAGGCCCTGGAAGGCATCCGGAGCTATGTCCGATATCTGATTCTTGCTGATGTCTCTGAAAACATTAATGGGAAAGTCTAAGAACACTGCTCACAGGTGTGATAACGCTCTTCCTGAAGTATGCACCCAGCAGTTCAGCCATTCAAAACCAGTACAGATTAACTGATCAAGCGATTGATTTATACACAGCACAAAAGGCAATGCCTTAAGAACACATCTCCCACTGTGGGGTAAAGTGTACCATGTCATCTCGGGTGCTAAGGAATGCCCACCTAAGTCTTGTCTGGCACAAAAAAACTATGGATATGTAGGTCATTACAGTTTGGATGTGGGGGAAGCCACCTCCAGAAGCCATGAATGCTGGGCATGCTGATACCCTGTGATCCCAGCACTTTGGAGACTGAGGAGGATTGGGAGTTGGAGGCCAGCCTACGCTACATAGTGACACCCAGTCTCAATAAAACAAAACCAAACCAAAACCCAACCAACCAACCAACAAAAACAAACAACAACAACAACAAAATATCCCAAACAAAAAACCTGAACCCCAAACAAAAACCAACTTCAAGCCAGGGCTTTGGTCTCAGGTGCCATTAACAAGTATTTAACAGTACAGACAAGGCACCATGGGCCCCACCCAACCAAAGGTTCCTTTACACATTGTTCTCTTGTCTTGCACCCCAATAGTGATTATTATCTTGAAACACCTGTGGTATTTCACCTCCCCAGTCACTTCTCATCTCTGACGGAGTCTCTGAGCATGGGTGATACACTCTCTCAGCTGTGGGATATGAGCAAATCACAAGCCTCTCAAAGAAGGCCTTTGAGACAGGCATGTGTCACTGGCTGGGAATGTTCCTCATTTGGGAAAAAGCCTGTTTGACACATTCAAGCTTTAAGAGGCTAGAAGGATCTTCCAAACACGATGCACATGTTGGCAAGCCTGGCCTCGAAGGTACAGGTGCAGGGGCTAGCCTGGTCTCCCAGATGCCGGGAGCCCTCTGCTATATACTTTCAGAGTCCCAGCGAGAACTGGGCCACAGGCTCTTGCTAACGGCCCCTGTGGAGGGGGATTTCTTTTCCTCAGAATTATTAGCTCAGGGCTGGCCTTTGGGCTCCTGTCACTGGCTGGGGAGACGCACCAATTTCCCGCGACAAGAAATGTGTCCCGTTCAACTAAATAAATCAATGGGTCCTTGCTTTTGTGTGGAAGAGGGAGGGCTGAGGTCTTCGCAGGCCAACAGGAGACAAGAGGATATTGAGAAGAAAGCACATCTGAGAAGATTCGTAAGTGACGCCCTCCAATTAGGGCCAGTCACCCAGCCGCCCAGCCTCTTAACCGCACACAAAAGAAGAACCTTTCTCCTGTCTCCCTCTTTCATCTCACAGCCTAGGAAAAGGCCATGCAACAACTCCTACCTAGACCTCTGCTCCCTTCCGTCCTACTTCCAAAGCCTCTAAGTGGCAAGACATCTCCCAGGTTAAGGCCCCTCTGGCACAGCTGTCTGGCTTATCCCTTTAGCTGGCGAGATCGCCTCAAACAAATCCAGATTGTGTTCGCAAACTGTCAGCTTATGCCAGGCTTTTCTCTGGCGCTCCATTTTCGTATAAGGGTCTTAACAAGCCGATACCCTGGATTAGCCTAATCTTGCTCACCCTCAGGGTAGCTGCCCAGCACAGCATTTGAGAGCGGCACACAGGGTCTGCTCACATCAGAGATGAGGCTCATTCTGATGTTCTCCCCATCGTGGGGATGTCCATTCAGAGGGTCAAGACCCCTAGCATACAGGAAGTTACCCGGCCACTGGGGAAGATCCCTGACTGAGCTACGTGGGGACAGACTGGGGTTTTAGTTCACAATGAGAACTTCAGGGATCAACTCTTCTTGGGCTAGAACACGGGGTGAGGTAATCTTCTAGTTTGGAAGTGAAGGATGATGGGAACTGGAAAAAGTGATGGTTTGGTGGGAAGAGACACTGGTAGTAACTTAGCTCTTTTTCCCCATTTTTTTTATTGTATACATTTATATATTTGCAGTGTGATATTTCGGAATATGTGCTCACTGTTGAATAGCTAAATCAAGGTGTTTTGCACATCCCAAACCTAGGAAGTTACCTATTATTACTTGTAAGGGCACTTACAACCTACCCTCAGAGATTTTCAAGTAGACAATACGCTGCTATTAACCATAACCAGCATGGTATAGGAGATCCCTAGGTCATACTACATGTTTCAGAATCTGGTCAGGCTGTGACCTACTCAGTACCTCGGAGCTATAAACTGAATGACTAAGAGAGACTTTTTTTTCCAGGCTGGAACAGCAAATTCAGTAAGTAGAAGGGATAAGCAGAGAATAAAAGAGTAAGATACTAGGAAATCTTACAACCCCATGGAAGGTTTGTCCTGCCCCATGCATTCAAATGAAAAGAACTTGTTTTGTTGTTGAGACATGGTCTGGCTATGTTGTTCAGGTTGGCCTCAAACTCACCACCCACATGCCTCAACCTCCTGAGTTGGGATGGCACCTGTGCCACCACATCTGGCTTCAAAGAACCCTTCTGGCACCATTCTGGCAGAAGGGCACAGGCTTGCCCTTGGCGTTGGGGCTGACCACACATCGACTCTATAAAACCAGAAAAGTGGTCTCCAGCACCCCATCTTTTTACTGATATGGGTTTTCATCTACCAGTATTTATTTTAATATTGGGGTGATCATTAGAAATAGGTAGGCATGGCATCAATGGATCCATGATTAATTCTATTTTTTAAAGAGTGACCAGGATGTGTCCAGTCATAGCCGAGAGGGGAAATTACCTCTTGTTAAAAATTATGTATAAACTATTCATGGTTACCTAGAAGGAAATCATGGTTAGGGTCTCAAATCCAGTCACATCTGAGACTTATCTGAGCCTACACCATTAAACAAGAGTCTATAGTTCTGAAATTCTATTAGTCAAAAAAGTTTAAGCGGACTCTTTTGCCTCCCTTCACCCCTTTATGGGGCATCATAATAAATACCAGTGGCATCAGAAATGATCAAAAATTAAATTCACTCCCCAGGTCATGACTGATAAGGTCTTATGAATTTTGAATGTGCCAATCGTGGCAACTCCAATGGGCTGGAGGAAGGACAGTAAAACACAGCCAAGCTCTAAATTACCTGGACTTCACAAAAAAAATTAGAACAGTAACTTAAATCATGCAGGAGCTATATAGGTTGGGGCAGTCACTGGACTTGTCATTTTTCACCAAAATTACTATCTGGGTGCATAATCAAGCTAGGCTTTAAAAATGAATTTGGGGGAACGCATGGAGAAGTAAGCTGGAGAAGCAGGAACACCAGGAGATTAATGACTCAAGGTTTTAAATATTAAGGCCTATATTTATACAGCTCTTCCAGAAAGGATGCTGCCAAAGCGAGGGAGAAGCCTGGGCTTGGAGCTGGCTCATTATGTTGGCTTCCACATTTGGAATTGCACTAGAAGATCTTGTTTGCTTTTGTTAGCTCTGGCTTTCCAGGGAGATGGGAAATTGGCTTCCTGAGATTGGAGGGTAAGCCTACTAATGCCACTGTTTCGTGGGCATATTTATTTTTAACATGAAAGGAATCAGTAGGCCTTGTTGACACAGCTCCCCCCCCCCCACCACCTTCAAGAGAAATCAGTGGACAGGCCTCACATGCAAGGGGACCTGAGTGGACGCATAGTTTTCTTTCTGTAGCGAATGAAAACAGCATGCTCAACACCAGGCTCGGCTAACAGTGTCCCAACATGGAAGAGGGAAGTGGGGATTCCCCTTTTGAACCTTTAAAAAAAATAACTTATTTATTTGTATTTTATGCCTGCATGAGGGTGTTGGATTCCCTGGAACGGGAGTTACAGACAGTTGTGAGCTGCCATGTGAGTGCTGAGAATTGAACCTAGATCCTCTGGAAGAGTGACCAGTGTTCTTAACCACTGACTCATCTCTCCAGCCCTTTCCTGTAGAATCTTAATCTCTGTGATGGGTCATTTCTGAATCCCATGTATTTTGTCTCTTCAAATGCTTCAGGGCTGAGCAACTCAGAGTTAAGGTTTAAGGTCTCTAAGGGACTGATACTGTCCCCATGGCGGGGATGATGAGGAGTGCAGTGTCAGGCTGCCGTGGTAGGGAGGATACAGCAGGCTGACATCACCAGCACGATGAAGTGATGATGTGGTATCAGTAACTATGGTTCTAGGGATGCTGGGTTTGACCATGGTCAATTCATATTACTATAATCTTAAACCACAGGCCCAAATGTTGGGCATAACCTCCAGGGCTAACACACATCACTTAGAAGAGAAAATCTTTACTGTGCTCTCAAGTGCTCCTGTGACCTAGCCTCTACCTGTACCTCTCAAAAATCCCCTACCCCACCCCTCCCTTGCTTACTCTTCTTCACCGGCTATGAACTAGCATGCACGACTTCTATGTCTTCCATTTGCCCTTACAGTTGCCTAGGACAGCCTACTGAAACTTGATACTTATTGCCTTATTTTTTGTGCTCTCCCAACTGAAGTGGAGCCTCCATGAATGTAGTTTTCTTGTTGTTGATGGCTCCATCCAGACTCTGCAGCAGACACTCATTTAAGTATTAAATATATAAGTGTATGCATGTTTGTAGGAATATGAACGATGGCAGTATAGGAAGATAAGAAGCCACTGTCAAATTGCTGTTGATTGCTTTGGTATCACCAAAGCCAGGGGCATTTAACTTGGCCAATATGGCTCTGGGGATGGGATAGTTCACCTGCTTCTCTCACAAGGATCATTTCACTTCTCTCTGGTCAGAGAGGCTCTTAGCTCTACATACTGAAGCTCACAAACCTTACCATGTATATATGACACTTCCTCGCAATCTCAGAACAGCCTAGCTCTGTCTGAGAGGACTGGATGTGATCTATCCATCAGATGGGATGCCTATCACACCCTGGAATTCCCTCTTCCCATCCACCCTCCCACAGAAACATTCTGACAAAGGGAGACTCACATCCGCTTCAGTTTCTTGTACTGGGTGAAGGCTCCTGCAGGAATGGACTTGATGGAGTTCTGTTCCAAGCGTCTGGAGAACAGAGCAGAGAGAGTCAGTTAACTAACTACTTACCACCAAGGGACCGCTGAGGGGTTACAGGATGGTGTCTCTTAGTACAAAACACAAGGGTACAAGTCACGGGGCCCTGTTGTGGGAGACAGGACGAACACTGCAAGGGTCACAGCATTCAGCTGTTGGTCCATAGAGCCTCATCCAAGGGCCCAAGAGCTGTCGGGGAAAGCTTAAAGGGGGATCCAGGAGCTCAGAAGCTTGCTTGTGAGCAGTTGCCTTTGGAGGCAGCTGTATTCTTCAGAGAATGCTGTAGGAAGCAAGCAAAGTGTTGAAAAAGCCAATGTCACAAAGAGAAGGAAGAAAGAGAGAGAGGCCATCAGACAGCTGTGTTTCCCTGCCATGGAACCATGTCGCGATTTACTTGACATATCAACCAGAGCTAATGGGCAGAACTGTCAGTTGCTGACTTCACTTTGGCGGTTTTAATATCATGGTGGAAGGAGCCTGAAAATCTTCAGGCTTTCAGCACGACACTTCCCAGACTAGCTCCCTGAGAGCCTGCAAGCCTCAGGGCCCAGGCTGGACCCTGGAGTTGCTGCTGGACTATGTACCATATATGTCATATGAATTTTCTCAAGTGCTTTTACGCTTAGGACTCTGGGAAGAACAGGAGATGCTGCAGGCCTGGAGTCCAGAACTTATTGGGAAGAGAAGGGGCCATGGGGAGTGAGGGAGCCTTTCCAATCTTATTATTTCATCCCTCAAATGCCTTCCCACCACTAAGAACTGGTGTAGTGGGAAACAGGCATGAGCGGCAGGTGGGACACTCTATTACAGATGATAAATGACACCCGAGCCCAGGCTGAGGACTCAGTACCTCATCCCCATCCATCTCCCTTCTCCCTAAGGTGCAGATCTTTCCATCAGCTCCTCATTTGGCATGGCTGCTCCCCAAACCCTCAGCTGGAAAGACACACACACACACACACACACACACACACACACACACACACACACAGAGAGAGAGAGAGAGAGAGAGAGAGAGAGAGAGAATATGAGTATGTTTGGAAGGGGATGTATGGGGTGCCGAAGTGAGAGGGGGGAGGGACCAGCTCCCCCAGAGGCTATGTCTAGTGGCTGCACACTTCTGGCAAGGAGGACCCATTCATCTTGAAGAGTAATCCCCACTGCAGAGTAGGGGAGACAGTCGTATTAATTTGTGCCTCCACGATCTCATCTTCATTGGGGGAACGGAGTATTTGTTACTGGAACCGCTAATGGAGCAGTTTGCCAGCAATTTTCCCATTTCAAACAACATCTCAGCTGCTAATGTGGAATGGTTTGTCAGGCCTACCCATAACACAGACAAATCACTCTCTAGGCAGAAGGAAGGGGGAACGAGTGGGAGCCCAAAGAGGAAGGGCGGGTGAGAGGAGAGCGAGCACCAGGACAGATCATTCTTGGCTGCTGGATGAACACAGTTTCCAAACGAGACGGCCACGCTCTGTTAGCAATGTCTTTGTGCCCTGCTGGAGGGGGTGGGGAGGGCACTTTCCTGGGACTGCAGTCAGTGGCAGGTTGGACAGGGGCCTGGTTGGCTGACTGGCTGCTGGTGAGTCACCAAAGCTTGCCAGGGGGACTCAGAGACCACGGGCTACTGGATGCAGCCACCCACAGAGGCTGTCTTGACAGACTTTCCAAGGACATTCTCGTTTTCCAACTGAGTACAGAGTTCAGCAGGGATTTCTCAGCCAAGGTAACAGCTCCGTGGATCTCTGGGGCGATGTGAGCTCTCCAGGCATCCTGTGAGTCACCTGCCACTCAGGAAAGGGATTCCATGGTTTGCTGCCTTCGGAGAGAACCCTGTCTACAAGGGTGGTAGCCCTTTTCCTTTGTTGCAGGGGAATTCATGGCTCTTTGCTGTAGCTAGAAGCCTATGCATGTGAAGCAACACTGGGTTTTGTTATCTATCTGTACAATTTATAATCAGCCAGCCTCCACTTTGGCACGTACTAAGGGAGGGTGCTCCAATGAGCAGGATGTGGCGCTGGACCTCAAGAAGAATCTGTAGACAGAGTCAAATCCAAGACGGCCCGTCACAGAACTGAATTTAACTGCTACCATATAATCAAGGCAAACCATCACTTCTGGAGTTGTGTTGTTTATGGCTATTATTTCTGTGAACCCTTACACTTACGAGACAAGCTGGACTGGCCCATTTGGAGGCAAGGCAAAGGGACAATCGAGGGATCTAGCAGCTTGTCAGAAAGAACAAAGCTAGTTAGTGGTGGAATCGCTGAATCCTGTTCCTATCCGTTGTTCCCACTGCTTGCCCCTATTTATGAAAATGGGTAAACAGAGGCTTCCCCCAAAGTCACAGGAAAGTCTGAGGCATTAGGACTCCACTGACATCATGGAGGTAGATTCTCAGGGGAAAGTTCTCTGTCGGAGCTGAGGGAAGATGGACCAGAGATGTGAATACACGCCAGCTCTTTGGATCCATGGGCTCCCCATTTACAGAGTCAACCAACTGCATTAAAAAAAAATCATAAAAAGACATCGTATTCAACATGGGTAGACTTTCTGACCATTATTTCCTAAACAATACAGTCTACTTACATAGTATTGGCACTGCTAGGTACCATGGGTAGTTGAGAGAGGACTTACAGTATACAGGAAGGCGTTGATAGTTTATATCCATTTTATATAATAGATTTGAGCACCTGAGGACTAGGAGTTCCGTGGGACTCCTAGAAGTACCCCACCCATGCATATATAATACTCATATGGAGTACAAGGGAGTGAGGTTTGGACAAAAGACAAAGAACTCCAGGCTTAGTCGATTAACTGCAGTAGAAACCTTGGCTTGAATTCTGCAATCCTCAGATTTTCTGACTCTGAAAATGGTCTTTCTCTGTATTTCTCAGCCTCTCACTGAGCCCTTAATGGAGTGTCAAAGGCATGACGTGCTCAGGAGGCAGTGAGACCTCTTTGGTGGTGGTGGTGGGGTAGTTGTGAATTGCCTGTGTCTCTTAAATAAAAAAGGCTAGGGGAAGGATAATATCATTAAGAGCTAACAGTGGTTAGGGGTCAGCCATTGCACACCGAGCCTTACATGGCATGTCAAACTTATTATTTACACACCGGTGAGGTGCATCTCTAAGTTCTCACCACCTCCCTTCTTCCTTCTTTTGCGATACAATCTCCTCATATGGTCCGGGCAGGAGTAGGACACATGCTCTTCTTGCTGTAGTCTTTCAAATACTAGGATTACAGTTATGCACCACCATGCCGCCATTCCCTAACCCTACTTTAAACACGAGAGAACTGAGGCGTACAGAGGCAACGACACTAACTAGTCCAGAGTTAGGAGAAGCTAGAGCAGGGGTTTCAATTCAAGTTTATCTGATTCCAAAGCCCTGACTCTCAACTACTGGGTTTTATTGAATCATAATTCTCTCAGTCCTTGCCAGCTCATCTGCAGGGAGAATGGCCCTTCTGCCAGGGGAATGGGAGGGTGTACACGGGTGTGCACATGGGCACAGAGTCCAACAGAGCAGGACCTTGAGGAGGCCGAGCATGCCACCTGTCCTGCAGCTTGGAACAAGGGAACAGCGATCTCGTCTCCCAGTGAAAACGCTTCACCGTAAAGCACAAAAAGCCCGAGGATTAGCAAAAGCTGTCACGTTTCAGGCGACGCCTGAAGCCAACAGCTGTTTTAGGGCCCTCAGAACTGGTGCATGTGTCTTGCTTTGTCTGGCAAACATTCTTCAGGCGGCAAACAGAATTAATAGAGCTAGCATAAAAACAAACACACAAATCAAACATCCCAAACATCTTCCCGCAGCAGCAAAAACAACGGGCACATCTGATGGGGGAATCTCAGGCATGCGCGCGCCGTATTGATTTGCCCCAGCTCCTCAGGTGCTCCCTTCATGATATGTCATTTGCAAACACGTGACTGAACACGACATACTTCTGGCAACGCATAAGTCACCGTGACGGCAGAAAGAATGCAGGGTTATGTCCAGTATGGTGGGGTGTGCCTGTAAGCTGTCCTATAAGGGAGATTCTGAGGCCATGTTGAAACGCCGGCAGTGCCAGCAGCAGTGAGGGTATGATGAACATCTAACATTTATCAAGAGATGTGAATGTCAGACAGGGGGCCCTTCATGCGTGGGCTCACCGATTCCTTTCTACGGTGCCACGAAGCATGCAGTACCGTTCTACTGTGTTATAGGAGTGGTCCAAGAAGTCATTACGCCTGAGATCAGAAGCTAATGAATGGAATCCAGACGGCTGCCGTGACCCAAGTACCTGGCTCCTTAACTCTGCGCTCTACTATCTCAGGGTTGGGAAACAAAGAAACTTCATTCTTTTAGTCCTTGCCAGTTAAGGAGTTTCCTACATGTCACTGCTCTTAGCTCCTCCTGGCTCAGCTCAATAACTCCTCTCTCTCTCTCATATACACATACACGTGTTATGTGTGCACATGCATTTGGAAGTTGATGCTGGGTCTCCTCCTCCATGGAGCTTCCCCTTTATTTTTGGATACAGTCCTTCACTGAACCTAAAGCTCATTCATTCAGCTAGACTGACTGGCCAGTGAGCTTCAGGGATCTGCCTATTTTGGCTGCTCCCTGAGGCCGGGGTTATAGGTACACACTGCCATGCTTCATGCCCTACTTTTTATGTGGCCTGTGAGGATTTGAACTCGGATCCTCGTGCTCAAGCAGCAGGCCCCTTATGAACGGAGTCATATCCTGAGCACTTGGACTTGACCCAGGGGAAGGGAGGAAATCCCAAAGTATTTGTTTTTCAAGTCATCCTGAGACATCTGCTTGGAGACCATACAAGAACTCAATTCTTGTATGTCCAGAAGCTCAATTCTTGACACCCAACTAAGCCTAGAGGAGGGCTGTAGATGATCCCTCTCACGGGGCACCTTGAGCCCAGTCCCTTTCTTTACTTTTGCTCTGAGCAGTGTAGCGTAGTCTCCTCTACTTAATTCAGATGCT